ATATAACTAACGTCTTTCAAAGCTATTAACCTATATATTTATACTTAATCTCATTAAAAGCCGATGTAAACTATCGACACAGATTCCGAAACATAGCTTCTCGCTAAGTTAGTCCGTGTTAATATACACCAAAGCATTCAAGCGTAATCAAAAGGGAATTAGTTGCCGCGTACCTTCATAAAACAATCAAAGCATTTTCAATGCATACAAAATTACGAAGAGGTAATCGTCATTTTATTTTTATACTTTTCAGTCCTTACCTAAGGATAGGATAGGTAGTGTCCTTAGCAAAGTGACTGCACTAACGCCAGCGTTTAGTTCTGCGCCTGTTTTGCGCGGACATGAACCTGACTCATTGCCACTCTTACAGTTTGCCTGACGTGCATGTTGCAGCTTCGTAGCCCACAAATGCAAATCAAATATTTGTACCGCAAGTAGATCACAGTCATGCACACTGAAATGTATACATACATATATAAACAATACTTACTCCAGTCGACGTGTATCTGCGGCTATTGTCTCTCATTGTGGTTGGTGAGTGCTTTCGTGACATTCTGTTGTTTCTGCGCGTGGCATGTGTACATATGCAAGTATGTATTCAGTTATGTTGTTGCAATGACAATATCCACTGATTGCTTGGTACACAATTGGATGGCAATGTAGCGACACCAATAAGCGACCCAGCAAACTATGACCAGCCACTGGATGGTAATAAAATTGCTTGCTTACTTGCGTTGGATGGATAAACCCAATGCTATGCTTTTGATCACGCTGTGGGGACGACGTTACTCACCCTCTTGCAAAAAGTATAGAAAAATCCCACTGCAAAAAAAGTAAGAAATGTGTGAAAAAAATTGTAAGTGATAAAATTTACGACTTTATACGTGAGAATGTGTGTGTGTATGTATGCACATGTTATACTATGCAGCGTAAATGAAATGCAAGCAATGGCATTTGAATTGCGGATCAACTGTGACCAGTGAAAGCAAGGAATTTGCATAGAACTAGGTTTTTTTTAAAGATACGTAGCTAGAGCGTCACTTTATTTGTATTCTTACTGACATATATACAATGAATAGTGTTGGAATCCATTCGGTGGCCTAGGAGAGGAAACTCTGTGCAATCCTTGAATTAAGTGAATGCGTTATAAAAATGGAACAAAGCTGGCGTAAACTGACATTTAAAAGAAAAGTAATTTTTTTAATAGTATTCTGATAAAGATATATGTGCGTGCATAAATTTGCAATAAATTTTGAGCTTAATAATTTACATGTGTACGTGGACGGTAAGATCTCTAACTAATCCAATTTTACCACATCCTGTATCGATATAATATATATTGGGTTACCCCAAAAGAGACCGACGAGTTTTTAAAAGAAAGTAAATAAATTTCTTTAGTGTTATAATGAACTTTAATCAGCTATGTAATTTCCATTCTGTTGGATGACCTTTCGTCATCTTTCAGGCAACATTATTATTATGCGGTCATATAACTTCTGGTCTTTATCTGCAAAAAACTGAACCAAGTGCTGTTTTATAGCCTCGTCATTATCGAAAGTTTTCCCATTTAATGAGTCTGCAAAGATCGAAACAAATAGTAGTCTGACGGTACATCACGAGGGGGTTACATGGCAGATGCATTAACAGTTCTCAGCCAAGCTCGCTCAGTTTTTGGTGAGTGACTAAAAATGTCCTGGTAGAAAACGACACCTTTACGATTGACTAATTCTAAACCCTTCTGGTAAATGAATTTATTTTATTTGTCCACTTATCAACTGCAGACATTCGCATTTATCGTTTTAGCTCTTCGCAGCAGCTCAAAATATACCACACCCTTCCAGTCCCACCAGACTGACAGCGTAATCTTCTTTTGATGAAAATCAGCCTTTGAAGTGCTTCGTGCATCATGCTTGGACCACAAGTTATTGCAAACAATCCATTCTTTATCTCGGCCGCTGTAAACGAGTGGTTAGCATTGCGTACTGTGATTCGATACTAGCATCCAAAAGTTATTGAAAATTAATATAAATAATAAATAAAATTAAATCTATTTGCCCCTCAACAGAGAATGTCAACCCCTTTGAATGTATATCTGACATGAAATAAAACCTCTTCATAAAAACCCTTCAGCAGTTCGGAGACGGCTTAGTATAAACTGTAGGTCCCTACATTTGTTGGAAAAACGTCAAGACGTAAAACTACAAATATGACGAAAATTTTCTTTAGTGGGCCCCATAGTAAAATTGATGCCAAACAAACAAATTTATGGGGACCTTTTTTCTGTAGCTAGCTAAAAGTGACAGCTTTCAACTGTCAAAAGAAAAAATACAAATATTTAATTAGTTACAAGCTGTTCAAAAAATCAATTTTAACGCCGTATATATGAAAAATCGCTGGTCTTTTTGGACAAAGTAATAAATATGTATATCTAACGCAACGGAAGTCGCCATATATACCCAAACGCAGTATAAAGATAATGGATTGGAGGACAAAAGAAAAAAGAAATTAATTAGGTAGTGAATCTTTTAGAGTCTCTTCTGTTGTTCTCCTCGTAAGAAGAGCACTGCGATCAACTGCCTCAAAAGCACTGTTTACTCTTTTCAACATACTTCCTACAAACGGGCTGCAACGCAATTAGATTGAATGCAACTCAGATTTGGAAGAAATGCTGTTTAGTACACACCAAAATATTATCTCTAGCAGAAGTACCTAAGGAGCTGGACTACACCACCTCCAGTATATGCTATGGAGTGGGAAACCACTAACGCCCTCAATTAGGAACCGATAGGCATCTTCACAGACGCCTCGAAGGTTGATGGAAAAGTGGGCTGATGAATTTATTCTCCCATGCTCTCGTTAAACATAAGCATTAGACAGCCAGAGCAATGCAACGTTTTCNCGTTAAACATAAGCATTAGACAGCCAGAGCAATGCAACGTTTTCCAGGCGGAAGTCAATGCAATCATGGAGACGACCGAGTGGTTGCTCAAATCTATGGCAGCGGGACATTCTATTACAATATACCCCGATGGTAAAATCCATCAGATCTCTACAATGTAATAGTACCTCGTCAAAAGTGGCCTTAAAATGTGACTCTTCGTAAAACATGCGCACTATGCTGAATTTCCCCTGTCTACTGCAAAGTACATGTTTAAGCTGACCTTTGCCTAACAAGCAGACGAGGCAAGATGGATGAACGAGATCACGTGGAACGTGACCAGGCAACTATACCGAAGTTGGACGCAGAAAAATCAAACCATCTTATACTTCTAGCGCGGCTCTTCATTAACATAACGACTGGCATAATAAAAGCCATTCTTTAATGGGGCTTCACAGGAAAAGAAGGGGATATCACTCTAGAAGAGGAGGAGCTTATTGCATGCTACACCTGTCTAAACATCTTCCTCGGAAAAAAGTTATTCGACTGTTTCGATGAGGTACTCTCAGCGAAAATTGGAAATATCGTTGCCTTTGAGAAGGTGAAGACAGGAGCCTCAGCGGTATAGCAATGGGCCTAGTGGTAGTAACCAACTGACGCATCAACTTAACTCAACTAACGGTAAATTGAAATGAAAGAAATAGAAATAAAAATAGAATGTTAAATAAAATAAAGTAAGTTGTATGTATTCTTATCCTACAACTTTTCGCTTTGCTTCTATGCAATTCAGTATAATAAGTTTATGTGTTTTATTCAACAGTTAGGAAAGAAAACTGACAAAACGCTTTCGGTTTCAGTTATTTGAAAAACTTTGCAAGGTTGTTTAATTTGTTAGTTGCTATAATGGTTACAATACAACACGACTTCTCAACGAACAAATTTTGCATACTAAACAAATAATATAAATAATATAAACTCAATAGCTTTATAAAATTCCAATAACTTGGTATTGGTAAGTTCTTCGTAGATCGTAAATAAATGGTGAGTTTTTAGCTTGGCAACACTGGTTTAAACAGCTGACGCACGTTTCGTGTTTTGTATCACTCTCAAATATCTGCAGTTTGGTCTATAATTTAACTATGAATCGTCTTACAAACGTCAACACTTGCAAGTTATTCAATTTTATTATCAAAACGCGTGCTCTGTTAAAAAAGTAAAAAAAATAAAAATAAAAATTGTGTGCGTAAATAAGCAGAATGGTCGATTTTGGAGTGAAGATTAGCCAGAAGCATTGCAAGAGCTACCAATTCATACGGAAAAAGTCATAGTTTGGTGCGGTTTATGGGCTGGTGGCATCATTGGACCGTACTTCTTCAAAGATGATGCGAGTCGTAACGTAACTGTAAATGGTGAGCGCTACCGTGAGATGATATCAAACTGTTTTCGCCAAAAATCCAAGAACTTGTAAAATTTTCCTATAGCTCTTAAAAAATCAACCTTTACATCTGCTATCATCTTGCCACTAGCACAATAGGTCAAGTCGATTTCGCATTCTCGCTAGACATCTGCTATGAAGTGATAGTTTACATGAACACCCAAAACTGGGAAGGAATTTTGAAACAACAATTCGAATTTTTTGATCAGAAATATTTAGCCAAATTCATTCTTAAGCATGCACAGCAAGAAAGGGTGGTTAATTATTTTTCATAAATACGCCAATATTAACCCTAATCGCTGTAAGACAATTTAATTCAGTAGCAAAACACGCAGTCAATAATTTTTACCTGTCTAATGCTAAGAAATATCAAGATAACATATCAACATCTAGTATCTGGTTCCGGGGTGGTATCCTGTCCAAGGCAAAAATACTATGATCCAAAGTCATAATTCTTATAATTTATAAAAATATCAGATATTAATGTAACAAATATTTTTAACTTCATTTCTGAATGTAATCTAAAAAACTGGATATAAATAATATTATTATATTAAGATTTCCCAATATAAGACTTTAGTTATATTTTTAAGTCGAGTCGATGGCCTTTGCTGCTTGTAATCTTTTTAATATTTATTTGTAAAATATTATTTAATAAATAAATGAAATATTAATATGCTTACTTACTGCATAGCATACGGGGTTCTGAACTAAATTCATTGCACTTAAGTTATCGCTGTTTATAATCATAGCCTCAGGATATTGTATTTCTGTTTCATACAAAAATTTCGTCTGACCATTCTTCAGCCATCTTGCGTTTACTCGTCTCTATTTTAGCCGATAGTTCTGAAAAGGAAGACTAATATAGTAATTGCAAAGGATATGGTATTTGTAGTTAAAAAAAAAACAAATTGAATGCCACCAAACAAGCAATATTTTTCTAATCACCTTGTACTTTCAAGTATCGAAGCAGGGTTTNCATAATATCTTCAGAAAATCGAAAAATTAGTACTGATTGAGCAAAGACTTAAATTCTGGCAGATATCGGAAAAATTGAAAATAAAGAATGAGCTCGAGAGATTTTTCATGAACATTTAATATGAAAAAATTTAGTGCACATTGGGTCCCGCGAATGCTCACGCCTCTCGACAGCAGCGACGATTGGAAATTTGTGAAGATATTTTGGTTCGTGCAAAGATGGTTTGGATGAAATTTTCAAGCGCAGTGTAACAGTTGATGAAGCTTGGAATCGTCGCTTTGATCTTTAATTCAAACAAAAGACAATGCAGTGGATAAAGAAATAGAAAGGTCATCAAAAAATTCAAAGAAGAAATGTCAAATATTATATTATAGATACCATTTTCTGGAATAGCAAGGAAATATTATTAGCTATTTACTTGCCAAGAGGAACCACAATGAACGGCTAGGATTTGGACAATTTGTTGAGTCAGATGCATGTGGTAGTCGCACAGAAGAGACGTGGCAAGTTAGTGTGCGGAGTGCTGTTTCTTCACTCTGCTCTGGTTGCGAAGAATGCTTAAAAAGCTACTGGATTTACAGAAATTGACCATCCTCCATACAGTAGGGACCTGGCTCTCAATGATTTTTTCCTTTTTTCAAATTTAAAAATGGAGTTACCGAGACAAGTATTTTTAAATAGCATCGAGATGAAGGCGGCCGTGGAAAGCAATTTTGAAGAGAAATCTAACGAGTAATTTTGCGGTGATATGAAGGCATTGTGTTCACTATATGAAAAGTGTATTTCACTTGAGGGCGGTTTTAATGAAAAATAAAAAACATAAAGGTATACATTTGTTTCATAAAGTGCTTTGGGCGGCGAGCTTATCAGCCGCCCCTCATATTTCTACAAATAGATCTGTTTTATTTGTGCTTTGGTCTTAAGCTTTTACTATTGACGTTTTACGGGTTTATTGTGTACACTGTTTATTTAACTTTCAGAATGCTTGAAGTGACACTGACCTGAATAAAATTGAGATATTTCTACGACTATTTACCGATAAACTTAAACATTAATTTGTAAATTAGTTGATGGTATTGCATTTGAGTGAGTATTCATAACAAAGGATAACATGCATTTGTAGTGTTCGACGTTTTTTTCGCTTTGGAAAATTTATGAAAATTAATATTAGAGCTTAAAAGTTTCTTACTCCCTCTGACTACCTTTGACTGTAAGGAAAATTTAATAAAGGCAACTGTTTGAATTTTTAAAACATTCTAAAGGTTTTATTGATATTAAATCACTATTTTATTTATTTTTTATGTTTCGCAAATTTTACCATCCCTCGCTTAATTTTCACTGCTCATAAAAATATAAATAAATCGGACAATTTTTGGTGAGTAAATTCATTTGTGACCAACTAAATCATAAAATCAAATATGCTTGCAAAAAGGGTCGCTTACACACGTACATATTTATATATTTACAACAATCGTAAATGCGCTATTATAATAAACACTGCAAGAATGTTGCGTATACGCCCCCTACAATTTACGATATGCACTAATACCCTACAATTTATGTGTTTTATACTCCTCTCAGCTCTGAGGCGCTGATACGCTCAATTCGCTGTAGCAAATACTTTATTTTTATGCTTTACCATACAATGAGGCATATTGAATGGCACGAAATTTACTGAGTACAAAAAATAATATAGAAAATAAAAATAACCCCCAAGTCAAGAATTTACCCTTTTCATAAGGCGAGTTAAGGGCATAAAAGAATTCAGAGGTGAACAAGCGGTGAAGATTAAATACTATTTATGCGACCGTCGTAAGCAAGCTGTAATCTCCGATAGGTATAATTCATAGAAATTGATAAAAAAAGAAAAATAGATTTTTGATATAAAAGTAAAATATTTTTAAGTGGCTTTAAGCAGAAAATAAATTACACTGCCAACTCAAATATTTTTTAAATGTATACTTATATCAAACCATACCTTTAACTATCTAATATCCTATCTATCGACGGGCAGCGAAAACGAAAGGTGACGGTAGGAGCGGCGCAGGGCTAAGAAGACATATTAGACCTTGAGATGCCTGATAGCACATATCGTGTGGGATATGCTGACGACATTGTGGCTTGACCAGCGCAGTCTTTAACTCGCAACAGATTAACGATGAACACATACATCTGGAAATAGACATGCACACCATCACGGATACCTTGAGGTCAAGAAGTGTTGTAACTATCTGAGTGTAAGACTTGAGCCTAGACTGAGTATCAGGGCACAAATCCAGCATGCCGCAGTTAAAGCCTCCAAAATCACTCCAACTCAAGAAAAAACTAAACTTATCATGGCGATAACCCTTACCAATGTACTGTACGAACGTATGGACGGACTTACTTAAGAAGAAAAATAGGCGAATGGTACTGGCTAAAGCACATAGCACGGCGGCCTTGAAGGTAGTGCCGGCATACCGTACAGGATCAGGGGAAGCTATAGCTGTAATAAGCGGAAGCGTTGCCATCGACCAAAAAAGCGGTTCCAGTGTGAGTGACGGTTTCTTAGAGGAGGATTTTTGCGAGCGGCACATACCATTGACATGACGACACAATGATAATACGGAAGGCTTTTTTCTTCTCCTCATCCGCCAAAAAAATCCTTAGTGGCGTTAATTAAATTGATTATTAAAAATTTAGTGCGAACGTTTTATGAAAACGTAAAACTAATTATATCTTTTCTTAGTGAAAATA